CTTGGAAAAGATGGCTAAAGGACTGGATGAAATCCTTACCACCTAGAGCCTTTAAATTGAGATGTCTTGATTCCCATAGGAGCAGGCTCCCTGCATGTGTATGTGCTGCAAATCCCGTGCGTAGGCACAGATTTAATTAATAAAGTCTGCTGAAGTGTGGAAATTAACATGCTCCAGCAGCCACCAGCATCACATACATCAGCATCCCCATGCTTAAAAATGGTGGCGGGGCACTTTAAACTAACGCTCGTTCGACAAGCTTTAGTTTAAAGCGCCCCACCGCCAGATTGCAGCACGGGAATGCTAAAACACATGACATTTTTGGGCACTTTTTAATTAAAGTGCTAATTAAAGCACCCCTGCATGCCACCTGGAGCACATATTTAAACATCCAGAGGTACTACTTTTAATGCACATTAAATAAAGTTCATTAAAGCATGTGTAGAAGTGCCCACCGTGGCATGATTTATACTGGAAGTCCATGTCTGAATGATCAGAATGGCTCCCTTCCAGCCTCAAAAAAAACACTTCCTATGAGGCTATGAAAAACCAGGCTGCATATTTAGACAAACAAATATAAATATAGATGTCTAAGTAGAGGCACCCTTCAATTTTGATGCGCCTCACTTAGGTTATTTGGTACAACAGGGCAACAATTTTAACATAGTTCTGCAAAACACTTTGAGGACCTGTATTGCATACTCTGGGCTGCAGTAGTGTAGAAAAGCTAAACGCTCTTCACCTAGCACACAATAAATACAAATGGATTATTGTATACGTTTTTTAAAATATATTACAAGTTTGTGGTTTGGTTTGATTTTTAACTAGAAGTTACAAGCAAGGCAATGGAGGATGGCTATTCCTCCTCCAGCCTAATAGATTTTTCTTCACAAGAAATATGAAGGCCTTAAAGTTATTTTACTTAACACTGTTTCTTTTTTTCCTACCTCTGGCACACAGGGAGTTGGCAGCATCGTAACTGTGGAATGGAAGTGCTGTAATGGAAGGGAGTCCTTGGCATCACTACATACCCACAATTACCTGCCCCTGTCTCTATCTGTGACTTCATGGCGGTAAACAACGTTCACCACGATTAAATTAAAAACACATGCAACATGGAACAAATCAGAACATATCCGAGGATTTCTCCCCCCCCACCCAAGACCTTAAAATCAACAGGGTGAAAGAATTTTTCATAGATGCTTGCACACTAAACGGATTTCATTACAGTGAAATCAACCCAGTTGTTGCCTAATCTCCAAGCTATATTTCAAACTGCAGACACTGATAGCTCTTAGGGCAAATTCTACAGAGAGAAACAAAAGAGCATTTGCTGAAACTTCTTTACTAGAGGGAGGAAAAATGGACGAGGGCAATGGTCTCCAATCTGGGCCGCAGGCAACGATGCGTTTTGTTCTACCAACTTCCGTTTTACCTCGTTAATTTTTTACGGCTACGAGCGCTGATGGAGGGCTCCAGGGTAGGACCTGCCGGCAAAGGATCACTTTTTTAGGGGCTAGAATACAGGATTGAGATGCAAAGAGATCTGGCTCAGCCTTACTGCAGTATGAGCTTGCACCAATCCCTTGATCGCTTGTGTTAAAAAAAAAAAAAAAAAAAAAAA